GCGAGCAATAAACTCACCGCAAAACCAATGGCTGCAATTGGCTTGGCAAGGGATGTGAAAGCTCGCATGGCATATCGAGCAGACGTCATTTTCCGGCGGCCCATCCATCCCTTTTTCTCTCGTCAAATCGCAAATTTCCTGTGCGTTTCTCTTCCTTCTTCCTCTGTATGCTCTGTTACTAGGCTAAGCTATAACGGTCGCCATTTGCAAATTAAGCATCGCAATTCGCAAGACTTAGCAACGAAGTATTGCCGCTGGGGTTGTAAATATAAATAGAGGAAAAGTTTGGGCATCGTACGGTGAATTTAAGAAACTTCAGGGGTTCGTTTGGAGATAAGTTTTTTATTTCATCACCTACTAATTATTTCATGCTATCATTTATTTCTAAAAATAAACTACCTACTTGTAAAAATAGGGACTGGACCAGGGCCCATTAGTTGAGAATGCCCAATATGTATGGGCCTCGGTCTGTAATTATTCTTCCGGGCCTAGGGCTTTTATTTAGACTTCAATGGTCTAATAACAGGCCTACTTTTTCAGCATCGTTCCCTTTCACTCCCTCTCTTCCGCCATCTCCAACCTAAGCTCCCGTCAGACGGCGCTCGAGACACAATCGGGCTCATACGCCGGTAAAGAGAGAGTAAACCTTGGCCGGAAACCGCGGCAATAAATTATTGCTTCATTATATTTGAGTTGCCGTCAATTTTTCCGACTGCATAGCTGAAAAAGAAAGGAAACTTTTGAATCTCAGAACCTGCTACAGCAATGGTGGAGAAGAAGGGGAAGTCGAGGGATGAAATCACTCGGAGCCGAAAAACAGATGGAGATTTTCGGAACAAGAAGCGAAAGAGTTTCAGCTCGAGTAAGAAGAAGAAGAACAGAAAGGAGGAAGCTAACGGGAAGAGACCCAAACGCGGGCCCCGCCTGCCGAACGCTCTGCAGAAGGAGCTCAGTCTGTTGAGCCGCGCCGGGGAAGGAGAGCCGTCGGATGGAGATGAGGATATTGGTTCCGACGACGCCTTTGGCGAGGACGTGTATGAGTATGAAGAAGGTGTGCCGGAGGAGGAATCGATGAAGAACAGGCGGTTCGACCGTGTTGAAAACTACCAGTTTGAGCTTCCTAAGGATTTTGAGGTTTGTATTTGTATATTTTTGCATACTCAGAATGTGTATGTGTAAGTTAAACATTGATTAGCTGCCGTTTTTTATTCCTAGGATTGGAAAGTTGCATCTGATGATGATGGTGATGATGGGGAGGATGATGACGATGATAAACACAAAGGAGATGATGACGAGGATCAAGATGACGGAAGGCATCAAAGGATGCTGGAGGAGATTACTGGACTACCCGGTGATGCTTTCGGAGGTATCTTTTCTGTACCTTCTCCTGTTGATTTTGCATTGATAATGTTACTTATCAAAAGTATATTGCCCTCTTGGATTCTAAGAGTTCTGAAGATATGTTTCTTGAAAGCATTTTGCTAGAATTAACTCAAAATTTCCTAATTCCAGGTAAAAAGAAGAAAGACTTTATTGTATCCGAGGCATATCCGGAGTCTGAGTACAATCCGAGCAGTGATGTTCTGGATGGTGATGGCCGGATTAGCATTCAAGACCTTTTGGACCCTTTGAACGGAAAGTCGGGCTTCAGCAAGCTGAGGAAGAGCTTGAACCGGATGGAGAAAAAGTCTGTTCCGACTCTCACACAACTTGCCAAGCCTGATCAAGAGAGATTGGAACGGAAGGCGGCTTACGAGCTATCTAAGAAGGACATTACCAAGTGGGAGCCTCTGGTTAAGAGGAACAGGGAGGCACCTACGTTGTATTTTGATGAAAAAGTGAACATGGGATATTCGACTATAGGGCAAATTGCTTCCGAGTTTGAGCCAAGAACTGATTTTGAAAAGAAAATCATGTCACTGGTCAACCAAAAGGAAGTGGTTGATGCTTACAGGAACGATGGTGCCAAGCTTCTTGAACTCAACAAGGTATGCGGATCAAGTTAATATACGATCAACTTGATTTGTTTATTTGGTGATTTGTTTCTTTGCTGGTGAGAACAATGCAAATGAATTTTTTTTCTGGATGATATGTGGGCAGATTTCTGTTGAAGATGTGAAGGATCGACAGGAAAGGCTTGCCAAGATGCGTAGCCTTCTTTTTCGGCACGAGATAAAGGCAAAACGGATTAAGAAGATAAAGTCCAAAACTTACCACCGGCTGTTGAAGAAGGACAAGAAAAAGGCAGCAGAAGCTGCTATTCAGATGGACCCAGAGGCTGCTAAGGAACTGGCAATGAAGCAAGAGTTCAAAAGGGCAGAGGTAATTCAATATTAATTTCGCTTACAACTCTCAGTTCCCGATATATTCCTGGTTTAAAAATTTATTATTTTGTTGCATATTTTCAATATGTGTTTCCATGCAGGAACGTATGACTTTAAAACACAAAAACAGCTCCAAATGGGCTAAACGGATATTAAAACGCGGTCTTGATGCCCAAGATGAAGCCACCAGAGAAGCTTTTGGCGAGCAGCTTAATCAACATGCAGCTTTGACTAGAAAAATGAATTCTTTGAAAGAAAGCAGTAGCAGTGATGAAAGCAGTGATGGGGATGACAGTGATGACATGTCGGGGGGTTCGGATCGGGATATGTCGTCCAAACTGATAGCAAAGGCCAAGGAGAAGACAATTAAAATATTAGAAGGGGATGAAGAACTACCCAAGTCGGGAGTGCTTTCTCTACCTTTCATGGTATGTGTTTTGGTGCATTCTTTTATATAATCATTTCCCCTCTGAAATTTGAGAGCAAGTATGATGAGTCTGGTAGAATTGCCGCAATACCTAGGTAATTAAAATGAATTAATGTCAACTACATGATTAAACTGATCAATTGTATTTTCTAAAAAATTATGCTTATGTTCAATTATTATTATTACTATTATTTAGGTTCGTGGATTGCAAAAGAGAAGAGAAGCTGCTGATGAGGAAGCTAAGCTTGCCCTTGAAGATTATGAGTCGTCTTTGAAGCAGATACAAGGTCAAAATGTATCAGCAAAACATGAAAAGAGTGCCTCAAGTGGTAGGATGGTTTTTGGTGCTGCGAAGAAGGTGGTGGCTAACGAAACAAAAACTAAGGAAAAAATAAACAACTTCTATGAAAACAGTGAGAGTGAAAATGAAGATGAGATCCAGGACGTTGATGTTGGTGAACATAATCAAACTGATAAATCTCTTAGAGAAGTGGAGATAGACCCTAATGTACTCCGAGAGGAGTTGGACATCGGTCAGGACTCTGTATTTAAGGTGATAATCTTGCTCCTTTCCACTTGCTGCCTGCCTTCATTTAGTGATAATTATGTATATGTGTTTTTTAATGAACTTTTAATCACAGATGTTTCTTTAGATCAAACTCTGATTGATTGTACCAACAAAATGTTGTACCGTGGAGAATTATTAGTCTGAATCCTGTACTACGGAGAATTATTAGTCTGAGTATGTTGGTTAACAAAAACATACCTCAAGAGATTCTAAAATCCCAATATTTGTGCTATATTTATAATACTCGCACAAAGCAAATTACTACATTTTCATTTTCATCCCTTTTATTAGGTCAATTAGGTGTTAGTGGTTTCATGATTTTGTCTTTTTGCTCTCACTGAATTCTTTGATTAAATTATGAAATAGGGCATACAATGTTTGTGTTAGCTTCCAGAAATATAGTGTTGTAACTTATTTTCTGATATTTTTATTGTTATTATTATTACTACTACTGTTATAAATGATGCTGAGTGATCTTTGGATTTCTAGCTCTTTATATTCTGATTCGATGTTTTATTTATTCCCCTCTTTTCAGAGCTTTGGAGGGGCTGAAGATCCTGAGCCCAAGACATCCTATGAGGTGTCTTATCTGGCTTCTGATTCATGGAAAAAGGTTTATCTTCTGTTCTCGGATTCTTATTTTATTTTATTATTAGAAACAGAAAAACTGATCTCGAATAATTAAAACACTACGTGAATAGGTAAGCCGATCACACAATGATGCTAAAAAACAGTCTGACGAAAGCAACACTATCCGCAAGCCTAAAGTAACAACTGGAGCAAACGAAGATGATCATGATACAGAGGTATTGTATTGCCTTTTCTTATGCAAATTAAGCACGCCCCATAGTCCCAAATCGAAAATGCATAAATTTGTTTTTCTCTTTCAGGAAAATGATGGCAGTGATACCGATAGTGGTGGGGAAATGGTGGATGGGATTTTATCTTCCGGTCAAAAATCTGGTTATGAACTTCCATCTCAAGCTGAGCTCATACAACGTGCTTTTGCTGGAGATGATGTTGAAGATGATTTTGACAAAGATAAAGAAACTGTTCTAAATGAAGAGAACCCGGAACCGGAAAAGCCAGTTTTGCTCCCCGGGTGGGGTCAGTGGACCCACGTACAGAAAAAGAAAGGACTGCCTTCTTGGATGGTGGAAGAACACGAGACAGCGAAAAATAAAAGGATGGAGGCTCTCAAGAAGAGGAAGGATGCACGACTTAATCATGTCATCATTTCAGAGAAGTTGGATAAAAAGGTGAGTTTTAATATTTTGTTTTTCAAATAAATTGGTGCATTTAATAGTCTAAATTGATCTGAGTACATTCTTGCGGGTTTTTGGTTTGTCTTTGGTGGTATTGGGAATTGTTCGTGACTATTTTTATTTTGTTCTTGCAGGCAGAAAAGCTTCACACAAAGACATTGCCATATCCATACACATCAAAGGAAGTTTTTGAACAAAGTATCCGGATGCCGATTGGACCTGAATTTAACCCTGCCTCTGCTAATGGTGCTCTTATCCGGCCAGAGGTGCGCACTTTCTTGAAAAAAAACAAAAAAAGAAAAAAGATCAGTGTTATATATATTCTACTTTGTTGTCATCCATTTAGTTCCAGTAAATGCTATTTATACCTTCCAGTTATTAATTATCAAGTCAATACTTTGAATTGCTCATCTTTTTCATTGTTTGTGGACCAGGTGGTTACGACGCCTGGTGTTATAATCAAGCCAATCTCATATGAAGATATTAGCGTGCGAGATAAAGCCGAGTTCCTTAAGTTCAGTGGCCAAAAACAAAGAAAGGGAAAAGGCAAGAATCGACCAGCGAAAAAGTTGACCTCAAAGGCTTGATAAAATTTTGGCAGGATAGTCTAAAGATGATTTTACATCATTTGATTACAATTGAGATTATTGCCTTTTATATTATATTTTGTTTTATTGAAACCTCCTATTGTTTTTCCCTCAGATTTGATATAATGTAAGATTTCCGGTTATGGGGATGTTTGATATTCTATGATATTATATTATTATCCAATCACAGCTCAGTTTGGTACTCTATGACACTCAATTTTGTAGTCCAATATTTTATATAGCTTCTCACCTGTTGAAGTTGGATTTATCAAATCTGTTGTGCTATTTGTAAACTTATTTTACAGTACTGATTCAACTGAATTAAGAAGATGATCAAGGACAATATTAGCCAAAACAACCCAACAAGAAAATATAGAATTAAACCAATTTATAAAACAAAGTAGAGAATCTGAAACATTCGATAACATGGGCAAAAACTTAAAGACGTTTGTACTAAAAGAACCGTATCTTCAACACTCATCTCTAGCACAAGTTCAAAGGAGGGCACAAATCAAATAAAAAACACCAAAATCAAATCTAAGCATTTTAAAACTGATGCATTTAGAAGACTAATTCATGGGGCTTCATTCCAGACTTGAGGGAAAATCTTGCACCCAAATAGGTTTTCAAATCAGGAACAACCTCGACCGCCTTTAGCAAAGGTGCATCAACAGCTTTCTGATCTTCTTTCTTCTCTGCTGGGAGTTCATTCTTTTCCTACATCAAAAACCATTACATTTATATAACGTTAGGAGGAAAAGTTCATTGTCAATATATATATATAAGATGGCATGGCACCCGGTTGAAAAAAACCAACCTGTTTATCAGCTTCAAAAAACTCAGTTTCTCCCTTCTTTTTCTTTTTCTCGTTCTGTTTGGCGAAATACTTGTCGTCAAACTTGTCCACATTTACTCCAGAAATGTCAACCTTTGTGGAGGTACCAATAACATAGGCCTGGTTCACACGCCTCAGAGGAACAC